ATATATATATATATATATCTTTTAAAGTTTTTTTCTAAAATTTGTAATCGACAAGATTTTACTTGCTTCCAATGTTCAGGGGGATATCATTCAAAACAAGTTGCTAGTCACTTTATAATTAGCGAGTTTTGATTTTTAATTGCGGATACATATACAGAATGTACCAAATCTTCTTGTTTTATTTCCTCCATTAAATCACTTCTTTGTTATTCTATATGTCAAATTTCAATTTTTTTTACTTTATTCGATATGTGATGAAAAACGTATGAATTCGTATGAGTTTCTCCCATGTATAAACGAAATATTATATATATGTTAAAGTAAGTATCTTGTAACTTCGAATAAATCATTTGATTTATTTCGTAATATAAAATGTCATTGATGTAGACTTTGATCTATATGTGAACTTGTTTTTTTATTTTTTTTGGAAAAGTAGTTTTAAACATGGTTGCCTTTATGAAACGATTAAAATATTTAATTACACCTTTTAGTTTTTCTTTTTATGAATGGCATTCCATTTGCTTTCGTTATGAAACGAATTATTTTACACTGAAGTAACACGGATTACGTTACAATCCAATTCACTTGGAATGCCAAATCCTTCGGCCGGGCAATATAATAGAAACGTAGATACCCGTAGATTACATTACCGAGAACGTATTACACTTCTGACTATCGAGTATCGAGATACACTAGAATGACTAATGTATCTTAGAAACTACTAGTTCATCTGTACAAGTATCATTCGTGTACGAAAGAACAATTGGTAATTTAAATCACGTTTTATTAGAGCCAGGACATATTAAAAGTGAAATCTTTCATCTGAGACATGTTCCAGATCTTGTTCATAATACAGGACTACGAATCAGATAATATTATCTACATAAATCACTTAATTTGTATAATCGAGTTATTCCTAAAATTTTCATTGTCACTTGACGTGAGGCAAAATGTGCATCTCTGTACCGTAAGAAACTAAAATCTTTTATCTTTTTCTCTCTTTTTATCTTTTTTTTGAGAGGGGGGGAGGAGTAACACTTTGATCTAAAGATAAACAGAGCCGTAAGAAAGGTGCATTCACTTTTCGCTGAACCATAGAAACAATTCGTGCGAATTTCGTTTGGGTTACATAGCTTGTTTATTCGATGCACGTGTATCCAAGCCTATGGAGCTTTGAACGTTTATACGAGAACGTCACGAATCCCGTACCATGTTTCATCAACCGTAGCACAGATTTTACGAATGCAATTTGACTCGAATTACAGGCAGATGATATAATTCTCGTTGCATCGCATGAACTGCGGTTCAAATGATTTGAACTTTCGCGGCAGTGCGTCCATTGGAATTATGCTTTGGAACTTCATTGCAGCGTTCTTTTTGACCGTGCTATTTTCTTAAAATATAATTTAAAGCAGTTAAAAAATAAACCAAAAAAAAGTTAAAATAAGCATAAAATATAGTTTGAGATCCACTAAATGGATTTATTTTGCTAGAGTTAAGTAATTATGTTATAATTTAATAATAATAAATTAGGGAAATATTAGTGTAACCGGAACAATATCAATGGAAGAGAACAAATCAAAGTATTCTTTCGTAGTCTCAATTTTAGTTTCTCACAATATGAACCTATCCTTTAATCAATTTCATTCTCAAAATTAAAAAAACAATTTTAAGCTTCATTTTCATTTGAAGTTTATTAAAAATAATATGAAGGCGATATATATTTGTACAATATACTATATTATACATTCCTATATTTCATTACGTACATGTCTAATTTTCCATTCTTCTCGCTCGTTTAATTAAACATTTTTATTCGTGAAGAATCCATCATTTCATTTACCGAACGAATATATTTTTTATTTTAGCAAAAAAATACTACCTAAAAACAATATAATATCTAATTAAATATATGTGTTTTTATTAATTTTGATGACTTTTAACGAATGAATTTTAGTAAAAGTTGTATTCATTGTGTTATATTCTTACAATATCATTTTTTTTAAAAGAAATGTTTTATTTATCACGGTAGATATTTGCTGTATATTTTTACTTCGTAAATTATCATTGAATATTTTCATATGAAATGTACTCTATGTATTTCTTATAATCAATATAAATAATGCCCTACAGTTCTTCTACTTTTATGTTAATATATTATATTTAACACATGTATTATATTTATATTTATATATTATATTATGTTATATTAAATGAACTTCATGAATTTTTATGTAATGAAAATATTATCTTAATTGAATAATTTAATTAAAACTCAACGACTCTTCCTTCTACATATTATTTCCTAATTTTTTTATTATTACAATGACTATAAGAAATTTTAAGCACGTATGAAATGAATTCGAAAAATTAGTTTCTAAACATTAGTGTCATAAGTCAATAATTATAATTCGTTAGTCTGTTTAATATATTATTTAGCATTATTAAAGCATTCTAATCACTTATATTAAATTATTCATATAAAATTATACCAAAAATTATAATTATTCAAACTATTTTAAGTTCCCTACAGTTATGGACATGGAACATTAGGTATCTAATAATGTATTTTTCCATAAAATAAAAATTCCTTACAAATCATGTATCTATTAACGCGTATATATTATGGTATTATTAAATTAAATTTTAGAATTAAATTAAATTAGTTCTACAGTTCCAAAATGTATAAATATTAATATTAAGTTTGTAATTTATCTATTATTTTTATGCCTTTTATACTTTCTGTATTAATGTATTTTACTAATGATCATACAAACGACTAATGCAATCTTAAATAAAATAAATAATAATAATAAATAGATACTTGCAAAAACATTTCAATTAATATTATTGGAATATTTCTAAGTATTAAAGGATCAAAATTATTAAAATTAATTACGATATAGATAAGACAACGTTCTTCTATTTTCTTTTCCGAAGCAAATTACAGTGAATTAATTATTTTTATTAAAAATTGTCCATATAATCGTTTTGTTTGATATACAAAACATTTTTGACATTTACAATGAAGTAAAACGGTTTTTAATATGCTTTCTTATATCGATATTGTCGTCAAATTTTATATTGCTATATTTAACGATTCAATGCGTCGCGACGCTACGCATCATGTATTATCAGATGGTTTCCGCGAAATTTCATACGCGTCTAATTCCACAATCTGATTATACACTAAAAAATATTATTATAAGTTAACATTATACATTAAATGACCAAATGAAAAATTACAATTAGTACTAAAATACTATCTCAATTTATTCATTAATTACTGTCACTTACAAGTTATCAAATATATCGAGAACAGAGTTATGTTAATTATGGTTGTATTAGATCAGTGATAGGGTATACTCGAAACGTCAAAAACGTCAAGGAACTTCTCGAAATTCTAGAAAGTTTCGAATTTCGAGAATTCAAAAATTTTCTTGTGATTCGAAACTTCCGTAACTCAGATAAGAAAAAATATAACAATGAATAAAGAATGTTTGATTCATGTGTATCACGAATGTTCGATGTGAGATGCTTTTCAAAGTTATAAGCATCAATCATAATTCTAAAATGATAATGCAAAATATTCAAATCTAAAAAAAATTATCAAAAAAGTATCGGTATACTCTGAAAGACTTTTCAATATATATATAAAAAAGAAAAATTAGATCAGATTACGAAAAAATTCGAATGTTCGAATTACGAAAAATCTGCATTAGATATTTTTGCACGTTGTGCCATGTTTTTGTTTAACTATGGCCAATAAAAATTTATATAAAGATAATATAAAATAAACTAAGTTTCAAAAGTTTCGAGTTTGAAAAGTTTCGGATTCGAATCCGGTGAATTTAAGAATCAGTTTCGAATCCATCCCCATTTCGTATCTTCATCTCTTCCTTCAAATCAAATAACTTCGTCCGGTAAATGTCTAGTATCCAAATTTAATTAATCATTTATGAACCACTCATTTTGTTTCAACTCATGCGTACAGAAACTAGATCCTAACCAGAAGATTCGGAAATACTAATTGCAGAGGATTAATACATACGCTGTACTATGGCGATTAATAATCACGACGGTCGTAAGTCGTGATTCGTAAGAAAGTTTCAGAGAGTGAGAG